ATAAGAGACAGATCGAATGTAATTGACATTATTTTTCATTTCTGGTAATTTGCATTTTCCACTCCGAATTAATTTCATTTATATATTATAGTATGAAATAGTTTTGAATTTCATTATACTATTGAGATGTGTATAAGAGACAGATCGAATGTAATTGACATTATTTTTCATTTCTGGTAATTTGCATTTTCCACTCCGAATTAATTTCATTTATATATTATAGTATGAAATAGTTTTGAATTTCATTATACTATTGAGATGTGTATAAGAGACAGATCGAATGTAATTGACATTATTTTTCATTTCTGGTAATTTGCATTTTCCACTCCGAATTAATTTCATTTATATATTATAGTATGAAATAGTTTTGAATTTCATTATACTATTGAGATGTGTATAAGAGACAGATCGAATGTAATTGACATTATTTTTCATTTCTGGTAATTTGCATTTTCCACTCCGAATTAATTTCATTTATATATTATAGTATGAAATAGTTTTGAATTTCATTATACTATTGAGATGTGTATAAGAGACAGATCGAATGTAATTGACATTATTTTTCATTTCTGGTAATTTGCATTTTCCACTCCGAATTAATTTCATTTATATATTATAGTATGAAATAGTTTTGAATTTCATTATACTATTGAGATGTGTATAAGAGACAGATCGAATGTAATTGACATTATTTTTCATTTCTGGTAATTTGCATTTTCCACTCCGAATTAATTTCATTTATATATTATAGTATGAAATAGTTTTGAATTTCATTATACTATTGAGATGTGTATAAGAGACAGATCGAATGTAATTGACATTATTTTTCATTTCTGGTAATTTGCATTTTCCACTCCGAATTAATTTCATTTATATATTATAGTATGAAATAGTTTTGAATTTCATTATACTATTGAGATGTGTATAAGAGACAGATCGAATGTAATTGACATTATTTTTCATTTCTGGTAATTTGCATTTTCCACTCCGAATTAATTTCATTTATATATTATAGTATGAAATAGTTTTGAATTTCATTATACTATTGAGATGTGTATAAGAGACAGATCGAATGTAATTGACATTATTTTTCATTTCTGGTAATTTGCATTTTCCACTCCGAATTAATTTCATTTATATATTATAGTATGAAATAGTTTTGAATTTCATTATACTATTGAGATGTGTATAAGAGACAGATCGAATGTAATTGACATTATTTTTCATTTCTGGTAATTTGCATTTTCCACTCCGAATTAATTTCATTTATATATTATAGTATGAAATAGTTTTGAATTTCATTATACTATTGAGATGTGTATAAGAGACAGATCGAATGTAATTGACATTATTTTTCATTTCTGGTAATTTGCATTTTCCACTCCGAATTAATTTCATTTATATATTATAGTATGAAATAGTTTTGAATTTCATTATACTATTGAGATGTGTATAAGAGACAGATCGAATGTAATTGACATTATTTTTCATTTCTGGTAATTTGCATTTTCCACTCCGAATTAATTTCATTTATATATTATAGTATGAAATAGTTTTGAATTTCATTATACTATTGAGATGTGTATAAGAGACAGATCGAATGTAATTGACATTATTTTTCATTTCTGGTAATTTGCATTTTCCACTCCGAATTAATTTCATTTATATATTATAGTATGAAATAGTTTTGAATTTCATTATACTATTGAGATGTGTATAAGAGACAGATCGAATGTAATTGACATTATTTTTCATTTCTGGTAATTTGCATTTTCCACTCCGAATTAATTTCATTTATATATTATAGTATGAAATAGTTTTGAATTTCATTATACTATTGAGATGTGTATAAGAGACAGATCGAATGTAATTGACATTATTTTTCATTTCTGGTAATTTGCATTTTCCACTCCGAATTAATTTCATTTATATATTATAGTATGAAATAGTTTTGAATTTCATTATACTATTGAGATGTGTATAAGAGACAGATCGAATGTAATTGACATTATTTTTCATTTCTGGTAATTTGCATTTTCCACTCCGAATTAATTTCATTTATATATTATAGTATGAAATAGTTTTGAATTTCATTATACTATTGAGATGTGTATAAGAGACAGATCGAATGTAATTGACATTATTTTTCATTTCTGGTAATTTGCATTTTCCACTCCGAATTAATTTCATTTATATATTATAGTATGAAATAGTTTTGAATTTCATTATACTATTGAGATGTGTATAAGAGACAGATCGAATGTAATTGACATTATTTTTCATTTCTGGTAATTTGCATTTTCCACTCCGAATTAATTTCATTTATATATTATAGTATGAAATAGTTTTGAATTTCATTATACTATTGAGATGTGTATAAGAGACAGATTTCATACTGTAATGTCTAAATGAAATTTAAATTTCACTATTTCGTACTGTAATGTCTAAATGAAATTTAAATTTTACTATTGAAGACTAGGATATTTAAATGAAATCTCAATTTTGCTATCTCACGCTATACAGTATCTAAATGAAATTTAAATTATATATATATAGTACTATACTATAGTACTAAACAGTCTCGCTTAGACTTAACTGACGTGTTTCAATATTATGTAGAATAATTTAAACTCCGTTTAAATATTAAAATAAAAATCGTGTAGATTGTACCTCGCTATATGCATTTTTATTTCATAAAAATATATAATAAATATTGCATATCCTGCTATCACACGTGCACACAAAATATCACCCTATTTAAACAGAATTCAAACGATCCACGGATCTTCCTACATAAAGGCCAAAAACGTCTATTGAAAACTGAATCGTCCACTGCTCCGTGCCAGTGTCCCCAAAAAGCGTGACCCAATCGGCCATGCTTCCGAAAAATCTCGCAGCATACTACATACAACGTTACCCCAGATCAGAGTGCAACGCTTCCCTCCTTCCCAGAAAGTTCTTGAATCGCTAGGAACCTGCAAGGCGCCGGACGCTAACGGTGCTAACCTTGATCCTGCGACGAGCGTCGACGCAAGACGATTATAAACCCGATAGCCGGATAACGATGCAGAAACGCGTTCGACGTAAATGGATTTGGCATGTGCGATGGGAGCGGCGCAGCGCCTGCCCGTCGGAAAAGGACGGTCAGCTGCGAGGGGCGGAGAAGAAAGGCTGCGCCTTAGAGCGAGAGAGGTTCTAACGGAGGACAGAGAAAGCCGAGAACGAGGGAGACGATTACGGAGAAGTCGAAGATTACGAGCAGGACGACGCTGGTGGCTGGCGACATGCTGTGTCGCGAAGCCGGTAAAAAACACACCCCGCTAGAAGTATAGAATTTTTACCAGATAACCATTATCTCTCCACTGTTTAACATCGGCGGAAACGAAGAGACGCGAGTGTTCTTCAAAATTGATGGATCTCTGGTCGATTTTCAAAATAAATAAAAATCCGTGGCCTCGGCGGTTATTTCTGACCTTGCTGCGTTCTGAAATTGATGAGACCGATGTTGCCAACACGGTAGCATTCCTTCTGGAGAGTCCGATGAATGTCCGGCGACGTTTATTAAAAATTTTTCCAATTCAACCCTTACGAGAAGTTGCCTCGCGAAAAGTAATCGGCATACTCCTGGCAACTTCCTATAAATACTTCGCATTTGAAACTGTTACTGGAAAATAGTTGGCAACCAGTCCGCAGATCTTTGTGCTGAATAAAAATGATCTAGGCGGATCGCAAGAAACGGAAATGACATAAAAATGTACAGTGGCCCGCAAAAGTGTTCGTACACCTTTTAAAACGCAATACACACTATTTTAAAACTGAACTGAATGACTTGAATTTTTTTTTAGATGACAAAGGGACTAATCTACTAGACTGAAATGCTTTTTTCTTTAATTTTGCTATTACTTGGAATGACAAAAAAATAAAAATCTCGTTTTTTAACTTTTTTATCAAATTTGCAGCTCGCATATAAGTTACCGAGATCTACGAAAGGCATTTGCTAAATTTTCGTTATAGGCTCGGATAAGAAAGTTATAAATCGAGGGTTTTCAATTGTTTTCTCTTCGCTCCAAGTAATAGCAAAATTAAAAAGAAGCTTTTTAACCACCGTCTAGTGGCTAAAAATCCATCCCTCTATCACCTACAAAAATTCAAGCCACTTAGTTCAGCTTTTAAAAAGTTATTGCATTTTAAAGTAGTGTAGGTGAATCGCAAGACAGAGAAACGACATGAAAATGTATTTTCTCGTTCAGTAATTTCAACAAGTTTGCCACAACGAAATAACGTTTTGGATCGTCCTATATATTTCCGCCATAGAAACCGCGCTCTATTTATAACCCTCAAAACAGATCCGCGTCACGGCGTAGCTATAAATGAACGCGAGCCAACGTGTTGAACCATTTTTATCTGATTTCGGTAGAGATCTAGCGTTTAGGGGAGACAGCTCGAACGACCTTGAGGTTTCGTATATGCTGTCAAGAATACTCTCCTGAATGACCCCAAACAGGTTTTAACTTTAACCGTGGCTCGCGATTCCTTGTACCGTTTCCTAACCATTCAAACTAGTCCAGCCGACAACTTTTCCGTTAAAAGGAAACCGCTGGAACCTCTTGGGAAGGTCAGGGTTGCCGCAGCTGCCACCCCTAATTTACAACTAATTTATCAACCTGTCGCACAGTTTTCATTGAACCGTCGTCGTCTCTGCTGGACACAGACGACACATAATATAGACGAGCCGTAGAATGGTAGAGTTTTGGCAGAATGTCCGGGCATTCCTGAAGCCGGATCGCCATCATCCTGGGGTAGCGTACGAGGCACATAGTCAAAGGTGTCGAGCATCGTCCGAAAACCCATCGTATTGAGCGTTGACCGTGATCGGTCTGCAAGTGGGGGTTCGAGGTTGTCTGCCACGATGTGGGGGAGCAGGCTACGTCTGTCACTGTCTCGGAAAGGGACGAAACTGTCGGGAAGTGGGGGCAAGAGTGTAGCGAACCTCGAGCACGAGGCTCGTCATTCCTAGTCGAGTCTCACCGACGCTCGCAGCGCTCCTCTCGAAACGCTCGGTCCTCTCGTTTCTCTTTCCTCCATGCACGCTGCCCTGTACTACGCAGGTTATCCCTAAATTCTACCCCCACCCTCGGTCGGTTCCCTCTCTCCCGGTGGAACGCTCCCTCCAAACGGTTCAGCGAGGCAGGGAGAAAGCGTGGAAGAAAGTCGCGAGGAAGGAAAGCAGAAGGATCAGTGCGAGCGTGTCCATTGAGCGAGCCGGTTCATTGAAAAGTTTCGCCAAAAGTATATCGTGTGTGCTCGCGTGTGTGTCTCTATAAAAAAAATATATATATATATACATACATATATATATACACATACACACACATATATATATATATATATATATATTCTCTTTCACTCTATTTCCCATCTTTCTTTCGCTATCTGTCTTTTTGACGCTGTCTCCTGGCAAAAGTGGATCGGAAAGCATACTTGCAAAAGGTACACTCAAATGTCGCACAAGATGCAGAACCAAGGAGCGCCGCCTGTTCACGGGGGCAAATTTCAGGTGAGTCGACGATTTCTGTTTTTCCTGTCCGCGCGTGTCCCCGTCCCCGTCGCGACGGTCGTCTTGGCGGCGGCGTTGCATAACGACGTCGTCTCTCCTTAAAAATTCGCGGCGAAACGCTGACGAAACAGGTTCGCCGCGGATTAACAGTTACATAGACGGCGCGCGCGCGCGCGCGAATAGAATCGACGGGATCGGAATAGCGTTATCGATACAAGCTGATAGTAGTGGGTTCTTGAAAACGCGACGCTGGAGGGGGGGGGGGTCTTCTCAGCAGCGCGACCGCGCTTTTTTCTTGGAATCGCTGGTTCGACGGTTTGAATTTCGAGATTTTCGCGCGCTTTTCCTATCCGAGGAATTGTCGGGGTTTTGCGGATTCCTGACGGAGCATAGCACTGGCGAAACGGTGCGACGATTGTTCACAGGCGGTTCGATATTTTGAACTTCGATTAATTGAATTAGAATTTATTTTTAGCATCGCGTACAGTGACGATCGCTGTTCGTTCACGTACCTCTTTATTGACGGCGGCTATTCTCGTTGCTTTAAGTAGGATAATTATGCGTTCGAATAGATTTGCAATTGTCAGCCGATAATGTATAGTATTCGCCAAAAGCGTCGAACGTTCGAATCACTCGTTCGATCTTTCCTCTTTCTTAACGTTGTTCTCGCCGTTCCGATCCGTTCGCGAGTTGCTTCGCAACGAATTCGAATAGACGTGCAATTATCGCATGATGTACAGTATGCCCAAAACATTGTGAACTTTCGAATTAGCAGTGCGCTTGGAAACTTGTTAACGATGGTAACTATTTTCGCTTCCAACTTGTTTTACAAGTCTTGGGTAGTATTGAATTGAAACGAACCCGTAATTATCGTGTGGCGATGCACTGGTATGCACTTTTTGCCAGGAGTGTATCGACGAGGTGCGCGATGGTCTATGGGGTTGTATTAACCCCCATCGCCTTGAAACTGAATTTCCAGCTAACTTCGACGTACAAGAATATCATTCAATTCTTCTACGATATTATTTTGCCATTGTTACCGATTGTCATTTATAAATAAATACTTAATACTTTATATGCGTGCACATTTATCATAGAAAATTCTTTTCTCTTTTTTTTCAAATGACAGACTTGTAGTTATTTAGCCGTGTCGCGGCTGAGGTAAAGTGGAGCATATCGCTGTAATTGACATTTTCGCCTACTGTAATAAGATGTTAAAAAACAAATTGCTCAATTATCGTGCTTGTAGTTCGATCGCGTTAACGTTTCCGTTTTAAGGGACACGTTCGATCGCGTTTGCCTCTTGTCGCATTTAATGAAATACATGCGCGTATGCCCGAAGGTTACGTAAACTACCTGAGAGGCAAAGAGCAAATTGCAGAACCAAATATTTACGAGCGCGAGCGGTATCCGAACGTGCATATTCCGAATGATATGTCGGCCAGATGCAACACGCGGCACAATTAAACGATTGTGGAGGCTAAAGTTTCCGAAGGATATCGCATTTTCGGCAGCGAACTCTAGAAAGCCTGGGGGAAGCGACGTACAATTCACGCGTGTTTTACATATCGCCATGTTTGAAGAGCGCGCGCTCAGCATTTGCATGTACAGTGCGGGTGAAAAGTATTCGTTTGGCGCAAATGAAAAGCTGACAAATTTACTTTGTCCTATGGCGCGGATTTTTACAGTTTGCAATTTTCATTTCAATGGAATTTATCATTTTGATAAATTATAATATATATATATATATATTATATTATAAATTAGTTCTCTTCTAGTTTTCGATGATGTCACCTATGGTGTTAAAAAAATTCATATGAAAAGCTAATTTACAGCACGTGCGCGGAAGAAAAAGTCACTTATGCCAGTTCAAGTCCACATAAAGTGCATGTAATCATATTTAATACCGCATACGTGTAAGAATCGTGCGAGTAAAAAATGGAAACTGTCGACAAACAATTTATTATTCGTACGACAGTTTCCGACCATCCGCTGTTACAAAGACGTAACTTAGAAAATATTTAGGAATTCCGAAAAAAGCAACAATAGTTATGTTTCACACAAAACAGCTTGTTCCTTCCTTCCCTTCGTCTGTCAATGTCAATATTTGAAGAGGCCCTAACGAAGGGTGCAAACGGACTTTAATTAAATATCATGATAACTAGCACAAATGGAAAAATTATGCAAAATGATAAATTTCGTATTCTTGAATCTGAAATTTTTCTATGTAAATAGATTTTCAAGAAGTTAATTTGTTTAAACGTTATACTATAAAAGACAACATTTTCGTCGAATTGTGCAGTTAAATGTTATAGATTGGATTATTGTTAGATTTTGATTGAAATTTTTATTTCTATGGTACCTGAACACTGGTTTTCGGCCGACGCAATGTACCAAACGCTGCAATCGCGATGCACATCGAGCGTTGACTCAGCAAGGAGTCATTCCAACCTGAATTAAATGTTACGTGGAATTGATAAAAGGAGGTCACGGTGCGAAAGCAGCCGCGAAAAGTGCGTTTCGACGTGTGTCGCGTCGGGCGCTGCGCTAACTTGCCGTTGTTGTCATGTTTTTTCTTTTTTCGCGACACGTGCTCCGGTTGCGCCGAATTGTCGCTTAACCCTGGCGCTGTTGCCACGGCGCGACGCCCCGAGGGCGGGTCATTTGTGACCCAAATCGTCACTTTCGGTGCACTCGACAACTAGCCGCACGCGCTCTGTTATAATTTTTATTGGACAAATAAGCGATGTTGACACTGAAACTATATTTGAAGAGTTCAAATTATAAATTTTTATCGCGATGCACGATAATTTTGATGGACGATAAGATTGTAAACTTTTTGTAGAAGATATAATCATTTTTACTGATTCGAAATAGTGCATTTTTACAACTTTTTTATCAAGTAAAAATCCACGAGCTTTAGAAATGATACTATAATTTTGTATTAATTAAAAATTGTCGGTATTATGGACAAAAAAATTGTCTATAATACACTTTTTTTATCAAGTAAAAATCCACAGGCTTTAAAAATGATACTATAATTTTATATTAATTAAAAATTGTCAGTATTATAGACAAGTTATAAAATTTTTGTAGCAGATGTAACAATTCTCACGAATTCGGAATAGTACATTTTCACAATTTTTATCAACTAAAAATTCAAACTCTAAAAATTATATTATACGCTTTTTGTCGCAGGGGTTACTGCGACGGTTTATATAAAATAATCCGAGAGAGTTTTTTTGGTTTTTATATAACGAGAACTTTAATATAACTTGTAACAAAAGGCGATGGGGTACAGTGTGTAAAAGGTAAAGGTAAACGAGTGACGGATGAGACAGAAAATAAAACTAGCTAACTAACGTCTCCCGGTCGAGAGGTCCTCGTATTCATTGGGGAGAGCGTATTGAAATTGGTAAGGGAAAGTCCTTGGAAAGGGCGAAGGCCTTTCCCGAAGATTTTCCGACCGGGGTGATCCGGAACCTAAGGTCCTAAACTGTGTCCCAACGTTTTTATTGTTTTATGACAGTGTGTACGCCTTGTGTCGGGAGAACCCGAAAAGGCATCTGCACACCCCGCTTTTGGAGGACGTGGCTTTTTATGTCTGGTCCGCCACAGTTTAAAAAACAATTAGAGATTGCATGTTCCGTAGATAAAATGCGATTATTTTAATAAAATTGTACAGCTTAATTCGAGCGTCTGGAAAGTGGTTTGTCAGCTCGAATAGGTTAAAGATGACTAGTTTAATCGCGGTGAACGTGATACATTTGATAAGTGGCAGCGATAAAAGCGTCTGGATCGATGCAATGAAATATAGTGTAATTGCACTTACACAATCATTCTATTGAATGATTCTCGGTATCCACTAGACTGGTTGATAACCCTGCCAACCCTGATAACCCCCAATTTCAGTAATTTTATTGTGAAAAAATCTTTGCGATGCGATGCAATGATTAGATCAAGAAAATGATCGATCATTTTTGTTATCAGAACGTGATGTGTTTGGAAAACTACGGGTAAACAGTGACAGGGCTAGGTCAGGAGCAATGTAACTGCATCAATCATTCTTCGACGCGCCGTATTCATTAATCAAATAATAATCAGATATTCAATTTCTCATTTCATCAAAGTTTGATGGATGAAATTATTTTCAAGCAGTCGCACAAAGATACGACGATCTTTTGTTCGCACAATTTTATGCTCCTAGTCGTTCTCGAGATGTTTTACATTTTTTTTTACAGTTCTAAAGATTTTGCTATTCTGCATGCGGTCTACTTATATTTTTAATAAATCCACGGTCTAGTCATAATAAAAATACAAATCAGTATTTGGAATTTTTTCTGGTACAATTCTATAAATTGTATAAGTAATTCTTGCCAATTAATCAATTAATTAATTCTCCCAAATACAACAGTACAATTTGCTATTTAATTTGAAAATTGAGAGTCCGATTCCGCATGATAAAATTATTGTTTACGTTGTTTCTCTTATTCAACTAATTTATAATAATGAACCTAAACGTGCCGAACGCGTTTAAATTCTACCAAATTTCATTTCGATATTCCGCGTGAGAAACAAAATTTTGAAATTACATTTCGCTGCACACGTTTTACTCATTCTCTCTAATTGACGCTCAGATTGTACACAAAAATGGACAATTTGAAAAGAGGGATTACAAATAGACAATTTGGGAAATAAATCTTGCGACTCGTTTTTATACTTGTTGACAATCGGTAACTATAAAAACGGGCCGAGAGGCTCGAATAATTGTATTTCCACTTCCCAAATTGATCATTTTTGTTTACAAGCCGAGAGACAATTGGACAAAATTTACTCTACATTGTATGGCACCTGTTCTTAACAGTAAATGGGTGTCTAAACCTCTTTAGCCCTTTGCAGTCGAAGCTATTCGAATTCGAAATCCAGAACATGATCTCTGATCTACAGAACTTCTGTTTTATATAATTTATTGCGATTTATACATGTGAAATTGAGCCTGT